GCCAGTCTACCCTTTCTCAGACCTGCAGCAGAAAACGCTTCCTCCTGCAACAAAAGAGGGAGCACATCCAAATTTTCAGTCTGCACACAGTCATTAATACGCTTAGGTTTAACACACAGACTTGCAGAGCACCAGTCTAGAAACCTGCCAAGATGGGAGGTCTCTTCCTGCTGCAGTCCCTGCTCCTGCCTTGCCAAAAGCAAAGCGAGGATATAGTGCTGTTCCTTCACTTCATCTTTTTGAAAACAACTTTGCATCAGATCACTTTAAAAAAATAGCTAACAAAGATAAGCAAGAAAAATATAGTTTAAGCTCAGATGAAGTAAAACCAACAAAGATGTGGTTGTGAGTGGAAGTAACCCAGAAGTGGATAATTCCTACCCACAGGCAGTAACTACTAAAACGATACAGAGTTTGCTATGGAACACACCTAACCTGAAGATTACAGTACCAAAGCTGCCAGACTCAGGAATGCTTCTGTGATCCGGCATCTAAGTGGGTCCCACTTGTTCCTCACTTCCTGGGCTGAGATTTCCATTAGAAGGATGGAAATTATCCTCTACTCTGAAGTTATAATCATTAAGCAAACTTACAATAATTTTACAAGTTATATATCACATCAGCAAAAATGCCTCAATTTTATACCATCTACTTTTATCTCAGGGAGGGGGCGGGGCGTGGACACGGATGACATACAACACGACCAGAATCATTCATTCATTCAAAATGGCTAGACAGGTTGCCCCTGCGCTGACTGAAATAAATGGCAAAATTCAGTCTGACTCTGCAGTTGCAGGACCTGAACTGCAATGAATAGCAAGCTTCTTCCTTTGCCAGCTTTTCACTTATGCATTTATACAAACACACATTCAGATTATTTTGCACAGCCTGAAAACAAAACAAGACTTTGAACAATTAAAAATATCCCTTCAGAGTTCCTCAGAAGCTTTAATTGACCTTCTGGGTCAGAAGATGCCCCATACAAAGTACATGTTTGGCCCCAGTTGAGGAAACTCTCTCTCCTGAGGGCACCAGCCAAAGAAATGCTTAATTCTAAGTATGTGCTTAAGTTTCATTGAAATCAATACAATGGACAGTGGACGGGGCCACGAATTCTCTGTGGTAAAAGGCTGCATTGTCACTTCTGTTGCTCGGTAATGAATGAAGGGCTGAGCTTTTGCCCAGGCTTTGCTGACACTGAGAGCCTGCTGACCTTTGCCATCACTCCCCAATTTTGGTGCCCTACTCAAGGTGCCAAGGCCATTGCAGCAATGCCGGGGGCTGCAATTCTGGCAAGTCCCCCTCTTCCTGCAGCCAGCCCTGACTGAACAGCCCCTGCACCATAGTCTACGGCTGTTGCAGAAACCATGCTGAAACTCCTCTCCTCCATAGCACTCTGCAATATTGAAAATAAAGCCCTACTGAGATCATACAGATAGGCTAAGGTCATGCATCTAGTCATCATGCCTCAGAAAACTCCAGAGTCCCAATTCCAAAATCCAGGATGGATTTCTAGGCCAAGGTAGTATCTGCATCGCTTTTCCAGCTGCGGCTCTAATCTGATCGCATGTCCAGTGAACACAGCAGGTAATTAGCTTTGAGTCTGATGGCACGGCACATTCCTTGTTATGGCTCAAACAGGAGCAGCAAAAAACAAGAACTTGAATGAACCAAAGAGAACAGAAGATTCAAATGGATCCCCTCCTTTTCAAGATAGGATCACAAGAAGATGCCAGCAGAAAGAACAGATAAAGATGTAAATTCAACATTTCCCTCCATAGTCAACATCTGCTCATTGAAGAGGAGCCAAAGATGCAACAATAAGGACTTTCAAAGCCACAATAGTCTCAGGAATCCAAACATCAATGGCAAGACTTGGAGTCTCATCTTAAAGAATGTGATTGACCAAATCAGGAAAGCAAAGGCAGAGATACATAAACAATGAGTTCAGAGGAGACACTAATAACATTAGCACCTTAACAGTGGTTTTCTTAGAGTTCAGGAAGTTCCCTTTATTTGGGTTTGCTGGGAAATTTGTTTGTTTGTTGGGTGCGGGATGACTTTGGTGTTTTTTAAATGAAGGTGCCAGATGTTGCTTTTCCTTTTTTTTTTTTTTTTCATACCAATCAGGCAACACATTCAACACTGCATTAACTGGTGTTGACTGTGGCCTTACTTAACCTCATCAGTCTATTTTCTTTAGCTGGATAACAGCTGAATCATTAGTATTAAACTAGCTTGCAGTCCTGAAAGAGTACAGCAAAACCAAAGTACGTGATTTTTTCCATTAATTAAAAAGCAACATAAAACTTATTTCAGATCCCACCAGATATTTTACTTTATACCCAGCTGATGTAATGTTTTGTTTGATTTAGGGGTGGACATTAGTTATTTTTAAGTACATTTGTACTAAAATGACAAAGCAAAACAACCACTTAGAAGTTATTAAGCTGGGTACTTCCACTTTCTCTTTTTTTTTTTTTTCCATTTTTCCCCCAATTTTGCTATTTTTTCCATAAGAGAAATAACTAAGGAAGCTACATCAAATATGCAACATATCTGAGTATCTTTCTGTAATGAAAATAATATATTTTTAATACAAAGATGGAGAAATTAAATAGAGGGAGACACAACAAAAATAACTCTTACAGCACCACAACTGTATTGATGGGCTCCTGTTGCCAGTCACAGATCTGGGAGAGATCAAAACAACAGACCTTCCCACTGGAGCAGACTGAGGTACCTCTTTCTCACACGAGTTGATACTTTATGCTGCATCAGCTACTGGAAATCACTTGGGTTGCATGAAGTGCCTCTATACAATAAGTGCCTTGAAAATGTAGACATAAAACGTACTGTTCTTGCCATGCTGGCATGCAGAAGAAAAACTGTGCTGTTTGTAACCACATACCCAGCATCTCCTTAAAGCGCTCCCAAATGCACAGGCATGTTATCATGGACCAAGGAAAGCAATGCTGGCCACAGCTAAGGTGCTGGTGATTGCTGGCGGAGAAATAGCACGTTCATAGCAGGAGTAGCAAAGCAACAGTTTGTCATCACAGTGGCTGCCCTCACTCCTTTCTCACCTTCACCTGGTACACAATTTATCACATGCTAAGAAGAAGTGCTGTGGGATCTCTGTGCTACAATATCAGCAGAAACCACTGAGTAAATGATAACCCTAACAACCCACTTGTAATTCCCTTTGGACTCTCTCATAAATACCAGCTAGCCAGCATTGGTCTTTAAGAAGTATTTCTTCAGGGGAAAACTGCACCTCTGGTGAAGAGAATCCATCAGTCACTTAAATTCAGCAGGCCTGCCTTTGAAAGCCACAAGCACTGTGCTTATCCTTCTTTAATCACCAATTTTGGGAGCAGGTCCTTCAAAAGTAATCTCAGATTCTTTCTATTCTTTCTTTTTTTTTTTTTAAATTTAAAAAGCAGTTTACTGCAGATATGCTTTTATAAAGATCATTAACACACTTAAAATTAAGCTCACATTCAATTAGTTTGCTTGATAGGTTGTAATGTCCCTAGCCTTTTTCTATGTGCTTGAAAAAGTAGATGGATAAATGATTTTTCTATTGATAAACCTCAGTAGGCAGCTAAGCATCACTTGGCTGCTCGCTCACTCCCCCACCCAGTAGAATGGGGGACAGAATCAGAAGGGTAAAAGTGCAGGCAAAAGAAAACAATTGCTCACCACCAACCGACCAAGGTCCAGCCAGTCCCCAAGCAACAGCAGCCCCAGCCAACCTTCACACACACCCCTCACACCCAGTTTTATTGCTGAGCATGACATCTATGGTGTGGGATATCCCTTTGGTCAGTTGGGGTCAGCTGTCCCAACTTCATCCCCTCCCAAACTCCTGTGCACCCCCAACCTACTTGCTGGTGGGGTGGTGTGAGAAACAAAGGGCCTTGATGCTGTGTAAGCACTGTTCAGCAATAGCTAGAACATCCATGTGTTATCAACACTTCTATCACAAATCCAAAATATAGCCCCATACAAATTACTATGAAGAAATTTAACTCTATCTCGGCCAAAACCAGTACACTACGTCATGCCAGCAATTCCTGTGGAAGTGGCAAAGACCAAATTTTAGTTTCTGTGCCACCATTCCAATATTCCCATTTCCCACCAAACAGAAAGCACCATAGACAAACATTCATCATGCTGCTTCAGAGCCTGGCTTACAGACAATCATCTCCTGATGAAGTCCTGCGAAGGAACCCCAGCCTGGACAAAAGGTTTCCCAGAATGGGATGTCAAGCTCCCAGTTTTGCTTGTCAGGCTTTCCTTTGGCACAGCTGCCTACCACAAGGCTTAGGAATAGCTCAGATCAAGATGGTAGCAGGCAGCAGGATTGGGGCACTGAGCGCAGTAAGGAAATCATGTTCCTTATGGTCATGGTCAAGCCTAAATCTCTCTTTCCTCCACTTTTCCACTTGTAAAACAGGCACAATAACACTCCGCATTACCTCTGTGACTCTACCAGCCACAGTAGATTTCTGCTCACCCCTCTGGATGCAATGTCACTGTACCAGGAACCTCAACACTGCCACTGTCCTTCCCCCTTCCCATCCACATCCCAGTCCCTATCTCCGGGGTCTCGCCCGGGGGGGGGGGGGGGAGTTTCTTTTAATTACAAAAGGTGTTTGTGACTTATAATTCTTAAATAGCACACCCTCCAAATTACAGCACCATGTCAAAGTACTGAGCTGCACATGAAATCCTGAAAAATATATATGTTTTAGAGACAGAATCAGTGAATGATTTTGCTTGTGCAAAAACCAAACTGTAAAATCTAAGGGGATACCATATGCAAAGGTAAATAAAAACCTAGACAGGTAGAAAATACTTACCATCAGTAAACATGTTAGGAAATAGAATATATTTTGACCATGCACAATTTTATTGACAGCAGTTCCAACTTCTTTTCAAAACTGTGTCAGAGTTGCCTCCCTAATTTATTTTCAGGGAGGTAAGTAGTTCCT